AATTCCTAGGAGGACCAATGTTTGTATTTCCAGTTGATTTTGATTTCAAGCTCTTTGCGATATCAGGAACATGACCAGATGGCAGGTTAATAGTGGTATATATTCACAATACACCCATGCTACATATATCGAAATTTCGCGTGATTAGATCCAGTAGGAAAGAGGTTACAACTGAAAGGTACGGCTGAAGAACCATTTCACCGAAGACTTTTGAGCGCTACTGTATGCTTCAGTTAAACATGTCAAAATTTCTTGCGATTTGCTCCACTGGGAAAAAAGTTACGGTAAGTTAAAGTTGGTCGTATACTTTTGAACGCTACTGTATCTATTTTATTAAGGGGTCATACTAACTGAAGAGTAAATCATGCAGCATAGTCAGGGCAAGTGATATTTGGGGATCCTCTCGAGCAGCACAATATTAATAAAAAAGAGGAACGTTCCTCTGCCTCTACATACATGAGGAGGTGCAATATGTATCGCTAAACGACTAGTCTTGTTGTCGTTTTGTGTACTTTTCGAAGCTCTTTGCTCTTCACTTTTATTGGTGAGCTTTCGGCATATAATGCCTTCGTCAGACCTTAATTACTTACAATATATTGCTGCATACAATCGGTTACTATCAGTTACAATACAAAACATAACGAATCATACCAAGTCAACCGGNTAAAATAGACAGTGCCCTGGAGTTCACAGATCTTCTCAGAAGTGCGGTATCGACAAGACTGTTCGCGACACCGTTTTTCACAGATTCGGAATGATGTTAGGAGATCCTTCAGTGTAGGGGGAGGTCGGAAAACAAGTCGAATGGGAAGCTGGGAGTTTTTGACGACGCGGTTTACCTCACGTGCCTTTTGTCGTTGACAAAAGACACAATGAGGCTTACACCATCAGCCATCCTGTGCGGGACCCAGGTCCTTGTATTGCCTTCGAAGTATCCGTTGCTTTCGAGGATACTTTCAATTTTAGCATCAACAACTGAACCCTTCGCGTCCCAAGCTTCTCCTTCGTTTTCAAATGATTCCGCACGACGTTTGCCTTCATATAAATCGGATGTGCGCTTCTAGAATACAACAAGATGATCGACGAGGCACTTTTTCCATACCATCGGTGTTCTTATGACCTTCACCATTTCGTGTCTTCGCATTGAGGAATGGAAGGAATCCATCCCTCCCCGGATCTTCCCTTGTGAAGGTTATGTCAGCATCGTGAGAGTTAAGTATATTCAATGTTTCCACAAGGTTCCTTCCGCCGTTCCGATAACGGATACGTCATCAATATAACGTTTGTAGAACAAAATTCCACTAGTTAATGTTGACTTCTCGATGTGGTCCAAGAAGATGACTGCCAACACAGGTGCTATGCGATTACCCATAGCAAGGCCTCGTTTTTGCTTGTAAAACTTGTTGTCAAAGCGAAAAATGTTGCAATCCAGTGCTGCTTCGACGAGATCCTTGACTTCGCTGCGGGAAAATCCCATCATCGTGATATCGTATTTATTATCCTCGATGAGAAGTAAGACAGCTTGCACTGCTCCCGCGTTATTCTCATTCGTGTAGAAGGATACTACATCAAAGCTCGCGTACATGGCTCCCGTCGGTACTGGACATTGGTGAAGCGCCGAAATGAATTCTTCAACATTCACAATGTGTGCTCCCACGTAACGCAAAAGTGGCGATAGCAAACGAACTAAGAGCCAGCTTAATCCGTCTGCTGGTCCACCACAAGACGAGATAATCGATCTCGTCTTAATTTCAGTCAATGGGAGAGCCATTGTGTCTGTTTTCGCCGGATTTTTGCGCGTCTTCACCAGGTTGTAGAGCGTCGGCACTGTTAGAACCGTACCATAGAGTCGTTTTGCCATTTCAGGACTTATTCGTTTCTTCACAATTGACATCGCGTTCTTTAACCTCTTGCACATTGATTCAAAGGCGGACAAAGTGCTTTTTTCGTACACGGTGTCGTCTGAGAGCACTTTGTTGGTAATAGCCTTATCCATCGTTTATGGCATCACTACGAAGGAGCCGCATTTGTCTCCAACGGTGTACCTTAACACCTCCTTCGCTTGCAGTAGCTTCTTCACCCCTTTGCGTTCAGTTGGGGTCAGATTACTGCGATAAGGCTCAATCATCGCGTTTCGAAAAACGCGTTGAATTCCGTGCTCGAGGTTCGCAATTTCAGAGTCAATTTCACGTGAAGATGGTGGTATTCTTATACACTTCCTTTAAATGGCATCAGTGACATTAAAGTCGCCTGCTGGTCAAGTACGGTCGGTCCACGATGTGTTCTACAGCGTAACTGATAGGCGAATTGATGCACTCCACAAAGTGTTTTCCGACCTCCCCCTACACTTTTGCATAGATATTTGGTACGGCCACTGGAAAGGAAAATCATGGAGGCACGGGAAATATACCGCACCAAGCCGGAAATCAATGCGAAGGAGGAGATGCGTGACCTACTGAGACTGATTACGTGATAACACTTAGTCGCCTCAACAAGAGCGGCGTAATATTTCCCTTCAAGATCCCCGCCGACAGGTCATTCCCCTTTTCCCCCAATATTTCCGGTTGACTTGGTATGATTCGTTGTGTTTTGTATTGTAACTGATAGTAACCGATTGTATGCAGCAATATATTGTAAGTAATTAAGGTCTGACGAAGGCATTAAATGCCGAAAGCTCACCAATAAAAGTGAAGAGCAAAGAGCTTCGAAAAATACACAAAACGGCAAGAAGTCTAAATGAAGCTCAGAGATAGTAGTATTTTTAAAGACTAGTCTTGTGTTAGGTCGAAGGTTCCTTTTCATGATTATTTCTTTGGTTTAGAGCGATTGTTCTGTTGTGAGCTCAATCAAGATCCATCTTTTCCAAATGCTTCTTGTGGCCTACGAGAGAGTACCAACTTCTCCCCTTTACCTAAATTTTTCTTAAAGCCTCCGAAGAAAGATCTTTTCTACTTCTCCGCTACTGAGACTTTTGCTTCCTTTGCAGGCCAACAATAATAAGCTGCTCGGGGCCTACGCCCCTTCTTTAGAGAAACTCAAAACTAGATTTCTTCAATATCGTTGCCAATTCTAAAAATGACAGCTTCTCACTGAACGGCAAGCTCTTCTTTTATGAACCTTTTTATTTCGACAAGTACTGTCGCGATTGCTGTCGAAGGATAACTGCTTCTGAACAAATTGCGTAAGGGCCAGGGAGATGAATTGTTACAGAAAGACAATTTTGAGCCACCTCTTTCTCATGAGGTCGGATGAAAAATTGGCTATAAGAAATTGGTAAAACCCAATCCTTCAACCTCATATTTGTTGGTTAAGCTTTTCGATTAGAAATTTGTTCGTGGCCTATTCTCTGTGAGGATCCTTACTCTGCAACGCCTCAAATGATTGCAATAAGCAGATACCATGTAACCCGAAAAAAACAGAGCAATGTGCATGGTCCCATAAAGCATCTTTTACTGGGCTCATCGAGAAGAATTCGCCTGGACCCATCACAGAGAAGGTACTGAACAGTTCTGTTCAGGTTTAGACTCTAGAATTCTGCAGTGTTCTCGTGCCTTTACTTTTGGACTAAAGTGGGCCAGGGCCTAAGTTCTATTACCACCTGTACAACATTTCAGTACGATGTGTCGATATGCCTTCCGACTTCCGACTTGCTAAACTTTTGTCTTATTCCAAGGAAATTTAAAGAAAACGTAGTTCACCAAAGGAAAAACTTTCAATAGAAAAAAAAGGAACTTGCGCGACTTGCAGAAAAAGGTCTCCACCATGGGAATGACTTTTCGACTTTTATTCTTTTGGCCTAACCACCACGCTCTTCCTGAACGAAGAAATCGCAAAGCAATGCAAGGCTATAAGGTAACTAAGTAGTTATAATGTAGATATACCGAAAAGTGGGCCAATTGGGCAAGAAGAGGTTCATAACTTCGTTCATGGAGTTTTTCCCGTTTGTTCGGGTACGGATATGCGAACTTAATACTATTACTCGAATCGAATGTCCCATACCAAGTTGGCACCGTGTTTTAAGAACCATCCACATAACATACATTCACACGCTAATAGTTCGTTCATTTGAAACAGAAGGTAAATGCATGGCGCATTCCAAAAGAGTTGTTATACGTTGTACTTTACACAAAGAATACTTACAACAAAGAGCGAATTACAAGGCTTCTTAGTAAGATAAGGCTTTTACAGTTTCCGAAAAAAACCTATCATCATGTCAATCACGAAATTTATAGAATAATCTTGAGTAGCAATAAATATAGCTAATTTGTAATTTGTAAAAAAAAATGAAACACTTTTTCATAAAATCATTATTCTCGTGTTCCTGCTAGAAATGAGCACAATTCGTAATTCTTATCAGAAGAAAAAAGAAAAAAAAAAACAAAACGAAAACAGAATGCGAGAAAGAATCTTGCAACGATATGCCATGCAATAATCAGAAACGACAAAAAGCTGTGTCTCTTCCATTGGCTCAAATTGACAATAGCCATATTGTAAAGTTGTATAGTAAAGTTGTATAGTAAATCAGAAGAGGAAATCGATTGCCATACCCAGATGGAATCGATGGATGCAACGAGTGATAAGAATTGCCATCGTTAAGCGTCAAGTTCTTTTTTCCTGTTTTCGCTATCAAAATAGCTAGAAACCATACAAATGAAAAAAAAAAACATTTTAGTAAAAAGTGTACAAGACTAGGTTTGGACAGTTCTGTGAGGAAAACACCTGAGTTCTAGAGAACTGATACACAACAAAACAAGTTATCATATGTACAATGAATTTGTATGGAGTAAATGATCATGCAAAGAAAAGTTTAAAAGAACATCAATACGGATAAAAAACATATACGATATACGAATCGTGCTCAAATTTAGCACAGCTACCGGTTTTCCTTAAAGAGTATAAATGACACCGCTGGTATAATCACAGCGACGAGAAATTCGAGGTCGGTAACATTGGGGCTCCGAATAGTTTCCTTGCCTGCCAATCGAAATAGATCGGCTGACCTATCGCCCGATATGAATCGGTCGATCCTCGATCTCGACTTCAGCAGTTGCCGCGTTATCGCCTTTCTGTTTGTGAGAGCCGAGGGCGAATGCAATTGCCGAGAAAATACAGGCTGCTACTACACCTTGAGCCATTCTGGTCGAATAGCCAGCCACTTTGACGGCATCGTAGTCCCAGTCACCTTGCTGTAAAGAATGTTTGCGTTAGAATGAAATTAAAATATTTTGTTCCCAATAGTACATCTTTTTTCCCTGTCACCCTTTGAAACAATTCAATTAAGGTGAAAATGTTGTTCGTGGGGAAGAGGAGGAGGAGCAGTCCTTTTCTATAGGACTAAGCGATAGAGCGCAGAGAAGAAGAGGTAGCGGTTTCCGAGGGCAGTAAAAATGCTTTCTAAACAGGATTAGCTCTCATACACTTTGGAAAAGAATAAATCTGTGGTCATCTGAATGATCATTTTTTCGATCATCTCAGCCTTCCCGGTCCTCCTTCCTCCCAAGGTCTAACTTAAAAACTATATTTCCCTGGCTCGAACATGTTTTCAATCATTACAGGTCAGGAAGCCGGCTATCCTTGTTTCTGTGCGCGCGCCTAGTATTGGAGGAGAGGGTTGGCCCCCAACCACATTTCACATGAATTTCTATTATAGCTGTTATCAAACATAAAATCAAATATAAATAATAAATATTTGTTGCTGCTGTTGCCACACTTGAAAGCCTCAATTGTCGTCAATGAATGGCTCACACAATGCGCGTTTCAACAATATTTCTTTTTGTAAATGGGAGACCATCTGATATCTTCAGGCCCATTCAGTAGTGAATCCTCAGGCTTATGATTTGAGATATATTATGGGTCTTTTTTTGAATGTTTGCAACTTTTTAAATTCATGTAGTCCCATAACATCAAGCAGCATTAAAGTATCACGGCTAATACAACTATATAGGAGGACATCTCACTGAACTTTCTCGAGCTGTAGAAGTAAGTCCGTAAGTAAGTATAGCCATGTCATCCCGTGTTTTCATGTTGGCGTAGGGCTCTGGAATCTAACCGGGTGGTGAAAGACGACTTTTAAAGGAGTAAACTGCGTTAGCGCTGCAACTTAATCCGCTGGAAGCAGTTCGAGTTCTTACTTTCATTCTCTTTCCGTAGTAGTAGTTATGATTTACCGATCACAAATAGACTTGTTCCATCAAGACAAAACCCAAGCGGCCCGTCGTTTTGAGCGTAGTGCTATTATAGCACACAGAACACCCGTGACGTCGTTCTATACCATTTTTATGCTCGATTCAAGTGTAATGCTCCAGCTGCACCGTACGTATCCATAAGGAGACAGGGATACGTTTCAAGAACCCATCATTCATTCAAAATGCATAGTTCATCTAACCAGAAAAGAGAATACATTATACATAGTTACCGTAGTATGATGCTTCCCCTCTCAACCATAGGAGTGAGCATGAGATCGACAGCATTCTTGAGAGCATTATTGTAATTCTATTATGATTGTCAACGATTTCAAACAGGTCTACCGTCTTCTATTCTTTGTGATTTGTATGCCCAAGACAAACGAAAACGTTTCGCTTTGACAGATCCTGATCAACGGCCCAAAGAAGCAATAGGACTTCCAAGAGGAAGCATCCAGGTTTTACGCATAAGATTCTTCGAACATAAGCTCGAAAGGCTACAGTACTCCCAAATACCGATGGCTCCAAGGCCACAGTAAGCAATTACATAGTTGAAACCGATGATTCGACAAAGATAGAACAGGCTAGCTTACAAACACGAGCGCCGATTCGTGGTAATAGTACCTAAGCATTTATAGTTGAGGACTATCCCCAGATGACTGCGTAACTCTAAAAAAAGAAGCGTCGATTGGGGAAAGGGATAGCATAAAGGCCTAACAATATGTTTCTTAGAATATGCCGTATCATGACGCAATAAGACTCCCGCGTCGCTTTCACGCAGTTACGACCTTCTCTCATTCTCTGAAAATGTCCTCCTCCATCCTCATGTCGACGCGAACGTTCAAGTTTGACAGGCACCAACGCCTTGACCAAAGTCCAATAACAGTTCAAGACGTTTTTTTGTAAGCAAGCTCGTCATATGGTGCATTGGCAGGGGTTTGGTAAGCGGATTACTAAACAGTGAATCAAAAGGATTAAAGGCACAGTTCACGATGAAAATGGTTTCTGAGATTTCCCCACAGGATGAATTTGAGGCCCCGCGTTTACCATATCTGACACTAATAGGTCGGAAAACTGCCAGCTAGGGAGTTATAAAGGGCCAAAGGTTGGCCCGTGTGTAACTTTGGACGAGTTTCACCGGCATTGTAGAGCTGCACTGATCACAAGAGGACCCATGCAGGAAGTTCAAACAACTCGTCATGACCCATAGCGACAGTGAAAGACAGTTCTGTACAGTTCTGGCTTGACGTAGTCAGCTCTTTGCGAAATTGCAATAACTGAAATCTCGTGCGAATATCCCTTCCATGTTATTCCCGTCATGGCAATCTCGTCCAACTTCTATTCTCCCTTTGAGGAGCCATATTTTTCTCAAAATCGGCGAATTCTCTCGCTTTATTCACTACCGCTGAACTATTCCCAATTCATACTTCTGCTTTTCGAATAAAACAGGTACCTCGAAATTATCGTGAATTGTGCCTTTAAATCAAAAAACCTATAAATCAGAACTGACGTCAGAATGATGGAGGTTAGCAATACTGAGTAATCCATCATCACGCTCAATCTTGCCGATCAACGAACCGAAAAGCGTCTCTTTCTCACGTCCATCAAACTTATTGCCAGAAGAGGATCAATAGATATTTGATGTACCGGATGAAAAGGAAACACTAACTTGTACATCGACGGTGAACATTTTTTGAATTATTACCGTGGTGGAGCACTTCTTCATTTGAGCCTTCTAATACTCGACAGGCTCATTCCCAGTGCTTCTGGTTGTGGACTACACTGTTGTGGGGCGTGATGAAACAGGAATTCAAGCTCACCCCCTTAAAATGCGTTTCTGAATTCCATCGCTCTACTCCATTACTATGAAGGATCTTTACGCTATAGACGTGATTTCCGTGCTGTGGTAATACATACATAATCATCATAGAGATGCACGTATTCTCATGACAGGCTCCCTAAGAAAAGCACCACGTGAGACCAAACGACCTTTGAAAGTGAAAAGAAAACTACAAAACTTTCTTTTTAGCCGTTTTCCGCATACCTTTTATGTTTGAGCTCTTCTACAATCTCCTGATGGTTGATGCACTTACTTCATGGTTACCAAACATGAAGCAACGATGTTGTTCAGGGTATAAAAAGGGTAAAAGATTAACGAGTAAGTGCATCCTCTTGATCGGCTTTTATGGGATAGCCTCCATTAGATTCCTATTTAACCTAGTACAACCTCGGGACAAACATCTTAAAGATGCTGTGCTCGGATTAAGTAGCATTCAGTTCAGTGTCTTCATCGGATTAGCATTACTGAGCAAAAAAAAAACATTACTACTAGCCTCTCCCTTCCCGTACACCTTCTCCGTTCATTCCATCCTTGGAAAATCTGGAAAAAAGTGAAAATGAACTTCAGGCGATCATCCTCTTTGAAAAATTGAAGATCGGATATCGCGGCTCACAGTTGACCTTTGTTCCCGTTGCCATGGGTCCGCTCCAGATACGGAATGGCCCCGAAAAAAATGAGCGGGTTGTATGACAACGGTGGTCGCTGGGTCAGGCTCAACTGAGGCTAAGGTCAGGTTCAGCCAAGCTTTTGCATCTCTTCTCTGAACCTTCATTAATGTGAAAAGAGGAGATTTACACAGATATGTAAACGTTTCGAGAACGGAAGAGGGATGTATCGCCAGTGGTTGAAAGCGAGTGTCTCCTTGAGGGGACCAAATTCATCAAGGTCTTTTCGTTCTCCCCTATATCCCACTATGAAGGCAGAAGTGTCAAGAGATCTCACCTATGTGCCGACATGATTCAAACGTTTGTCAGTAAGTTATTATGTATAAACCCGTTCGCTCTCGTAGCCGGACAACCTCTGCTGGTCCGATGGCAGTGTGTGATTTGTGTAAGGGGAAAGTCCGAATGGAAAAATGTGATCTCTAGAACAACTGGCAGACAGGAAACGTGCAAAAATACAACATAGTCACTTGAAAATGCCTAAAAAGAGAAATTTATAGAAAAAAATCTCCCACCTGTGAAGCTTGAGCCACAGCTGTATTCCATTCATCAACGCTGTTCGATAACACTTCAATAGTGGCAACGATTGCCATGCCTACAAAAGAAAAACTCTCATACCTTTTCAACGTCCCGATGTTACTTTGTAGTAACTACATTATCTCAGGAGTTACCCCAAGGAAGAACACTAATTGTCGATTCCAATCAGGAGCAAAATAGGCAGAATCGCCAAAAAACAGGCTAATGGCTATGCCGTTCTGCCGAAAATTGTCTGTGCGATCAATTAGTGCCATTTTTACTGCCAGACAAGAATGACATTAACTGATTATTAGGGGTAACATTGATTGATGATTAGAGGTAACAACAGATGTCTCTTTTCCGAATCTTGGAAGCATTCCTGATGAACAAGCGCACTCATTCAAGCCCTGTATTATATTACGCGGAAGTTTAATGTCCTACAACAATAATTGTTTCATAGCCAATTTACGCGAATCAATAAAAAAAACCCTTCCAAAAGACAGCCTGGTAGCGGTGCACTGGGAATAACTGATAAAATCCCGCCCATTATGATCGGACTTTAAGAACACAAATCACACGATGGAGTCATGGATTAATGCGGTCATATTCAGCTGATATTTACCAAGTTTTGAAACTACATAAAGTTCCCGAGATTCGAGAAGTGCGGACGAGTAACGTGCTCCTAGATACTAGTAAATCCCCAAAACTTCCTCTCACAGTTCATCAAGGACAGTACAACGTACAGTACCAGTACCTTACATAACGCTGAGGTGACTATGGACCTTAAATTTCATGTAGCAACCAATTCATTTCCCTCCTTTTACTTTGACATGACATGTTCGCTTGTTTCCCGGAGATGTTTATCTTTTTTATTGTTGTCTACTGAAGCCGTAGCAGGGCATCAACCCTGAGTTATGTACGTCGTGAAAACGCGTAACCAGAATTGCGATGAAAATGGACCTTGAAAACAATGGATGGCCTCACGAGCCCGGCTGTCCCAAAAGACCTGATCGTCATATTGACGTCTGTCCCCTATCGCCGCAAAAGCTGAAATCTATAATAAAAAGGGAAAATATGGTTACGCTAGAAGCCCCACCCCTAACTCCTCTATCTGCAAAACCTCCTCATCGATAGTATACCATCATAAGGAAAGTAAAAGTCACGGTGATCAGAGCTTTAAAGGTTCGCCATGCATTCGACATTTATCTGCAACTGCAAAGACATTCACTCAAATATTTTTTTTTTTGGATGAGGACTCGCTATTCACTCATTGAGGTGATAAACTCGTTTATCCGAATGGTACTCTTAACGAGTAACAAACTGACAGATACAAGCTAAGCCTCAATTTTGGCCGTAACTGAGCCCTGATCCTACCGATTCCCCTCACTTCAGACTTAATTCCCAAGATTGTTTAATTTTTCCTCATGAATTTGACTCCAATTCAGTTTCTTATGCCCAGGAAGAACATTGTGATAAGCTGGCCGCTGAGGGTAGGCGGAATTTTGGCCCGTAGAAAAGCAATCAAAAGTGCAAGGGCGAATTTGAATCAAACGGTCTTATTTATAATTTGCTACCAATCAAGTTTAACATCCGAACTAATCAAGTGAGTATGAAATTCACTCTGTTTCGCCCTACAGGAAAAATCCGGAGAAAAAACCGTGGAGCTGAAGTCCAGATTATCATTTGAATCGAGTATCCCAAATTTGTCGGTAGAGGCATGAACAGAGAATACTTCGGAAAACAAGAAGATGTAAGTTTTTTTTACGGGACCTTCAGATTGGCGGAAGATGAAAATTCTGAGGGAGGTATAGGGGCTGTGTAGGGTGATAGGTAAAAGTTGGTGGATTTTTGTATTCAAGTTGCTTTATAAAATTCGTTCCTCTCCTGAAACCACCCCACACGGCCCTTTCAGTCAGTGCTCGCACTTTTTGGCTTTGAAAGCAATCCAAAGAAAGCTGGCCACGAAAATTAAGGGGTTGAACCGGATTATATGAAGCCTGGCAACAATAACTAGCCATTTCCTTATGCCCAGCATGTAAGGATTCTCTATGAAACTGAGATGATTTTAAAATAGCACCTTCCGATGAGCTAACAAAAACTCTCGCCTAAATCAACGCTCAAAGTTCAATTTTTGTTTAACTAAACCGTCCGATTATACTTAGCAAACTCTGCTGATTTTCAGATAAAAGTATTTCAAATAATTGCGAAATCTCATTGGTTCAAATGAATCAGCACAAACTGCAGCAAAGCTGAACAGCATTACTGCAAGCCGTAGGTACTGCCAAGACAGTTGCTTTGCCTCGTTTACATAATGGATTTACTCTTTTATAGAACCTGTTACTTTCTTTCTTATTGACATTTTGAAACTGATAAGAAATCTTCAGAGCAAAATACTCACCCACAACTATGAACAAGCATGCCACAAGACGTTTGTAGATGTAGCGATGATGATAAAAAGTATACAGAGCAAGAGTATTTGTTGAGAGAAGTATAAAAAGTGCGATCACACCGATAGCTGCCTGGGCACGGTAGAAATCTGAAACGGTAGACATTACAGTAAGTCGCAAAAGTGAGTACTTCTATAAGCTACTGCATTGCCTGATACAGCTACTAAATAAGGTCGGTCAAGAGCGCTGACCGAAAAAAGACGGGTTAAGCCATAGTGAAGATAGGTTTCTGATAGAAGCACCACATTTAAAATGTCATCCGTGATAAGCCACAGAGAATTGTGGGCCCAGCCAGCTTAGATGCACCCAGAATAGCCCAGCGTAAGAGAGCCGTGGACATCGGGAAACTTGAGAGTATTTTAGGATGGTGGAACGAAACCAAAGTTTCTTTCCCCCCCCCCATCCTGAGCAACAGCACCTAATCACTGAGAACACTCTTCCGCTTCGGAAGTAAGGGCTCAATGAACAATTCGCATTCGTTCAGTCGTCAGTGATTCCTAACCGACTGCCAGGCAAAAGCTTATAGTAACTTTATCTGTCAAAGGCTCAATAGATTGATTAAGTTCTGGGATTAAGGTCGTATCTGGCTGACGCCGAATTACAATAGCTTCCGGGAGGACTAAGTCGGTACGACAACAGCGTATACATAGCATCAATCAAAGTAGTGAATGCTCGCAAATCTCACAAGGAAGGCGCCCTATGGGCAAAAACTCGGCCTCGGACGAGACTCAAACCCGTAATTGTGCTATCCAGGCAATGTGCTCTTCATCCCGTACACCTCTTTATCCTTCCATCAAAATGTTCGCAAGCCTCACAGGGAATGCTTCTGTAGTAATCAAACAGGCTTCCCAAATGTTCCTAGTGAAAATTGCTAAAATTTCTAAAAATAAGTGATTTTCCAGATATTTTGCAGTAAACTGTTTTTTTTTTCGTTACATCTTTTCACATTATGACAACAGTAGCGTAGGACAATGTCATTACCAAATTTGAAAAACCGCATCTTTTTGACCCTCAAGAGGCTTCTCATTAACTTTATTTAACATGCGAATCTTCATCAGATTCCTGATGGAGCGAAACCTTTACACGTGAGTCTTTAAGTTTATTTTTGTCGGTTCCCCAACTCATGGCACTTCGTACTCTGGCGGCCGGCCTATGAAAGTGAGAGGCACTCAGGATCATTCAGGATTTTTCAGGGGAGAATGTATCGCCCGAAGAGGATTTCGTCGAAAACCATGGTTACGGTACATTTGAAACGTGTAACACCTGCATCGCCCACGAAGAAAGCTGTTTTTCTGCGAACGGCAACCATTTGACCTATAAACATCACCGACCGACAAGTAGTTAAGAACAAAATCGTTTCACATAACTCGTTTCGTTTGTCAATCATTGAGTGGCGGATTTTGAGCAGTTTACATGCAAATGTAACCGTAAAAACCCTGACCAGTGTAATTTTTCCATTTGTTCCGTGAGCAAAGCGAAACAGAGGAGATCCATCAGCACAGCTATCCATCAGTTGGGCGTCACTTTTTACGCGAGCTGTTTGTCCATATGTTCAGGTCTATGATAGTTTGCACTGGTAATCCCAATATCAGTATCAACGACGAGCTAAGGCTTCTACTAATCCTTAGCGACTAAGCATTGAACAGATGGTAGAAGGATAGTGCTATCTCATAGGGCTAATCCGTAAATGCAGGAGAGAGAGATTCATCCAAATAAGTGGTGCATAAGCCACGACTACGGAAATCTAAGTATCGTCAAGTTTCCGGTTTCGTGTTCAGATTCCGAAATGCCAAAGGAGAATAACGGTAGAAAGGGAAAAAGGAGGGGGGGGGGGCACCCTATTTTCTCGACCCCGCTTTTGTAAATTCTTCATTTTCTGACCGAAAACGCTCAGCTTCCTAAACGATCCTGTGAATACCCAGGGGACGTCGACGAATTCCGCGGGACTACTGTTCATTAATGTGTTGCCAAAAAAAAGGGCTATACGTAACAATAGGGGATTCTAGGAAGGCCTAGGAGCCCCATCAAACCCTTCCTGTGTCCACCTTTCTTATGCATGCCGGCACACCTTTTTATAAACACGCTTGGAGTAGCTTCAGCTACTGCTTTCCGTATTGTTTTCCTTTGAGGGAGAAGCACAAAAAACGTAGATTTCTTTCAAAAAGAAGAGCACCTAAAATGCATGCAGACAACTAAACGAGAGGCTCATTTCTGTATATTTACATTTTTAATCCGACCTCTCCCCCGATGCATTTTACAAGGTTTTTGATATAATTGAGAACTTGGGCGATCTTTTGCCAAGTGTATCTTGCAGTGCCGATACAGTCAATCATAAGAATCGAAGTGTCCATTACGTTACGAAAACCCACCCCTTTCATCAAGGTATCAATCAGGGAGTATCTATCTATAGCTGAAAGTAGCAGTTTTGGGTGGAAGCGAATTTCTAGTACAGACAATAAGCTACAAAATGTAATTCTAAAAAAACCATAATATTAAATAAATAATCTTAGTGTTCCCCATAAATTGCAGCAGCTAAATTTTCCCCAAACGAATTGAAATGTTGATCCTTGAGAAGGAATAGCATTCGTTATAAGTACTCATTATGAGAAATCTCGAGCTTTTCGCGCCTTTTTTTCTTGTGCTTTTCTTATAGCCATTTGAGTAATTTGACTCGACCGAAGAATAGCTCAACCGGGCAAAAAAAGCTTCGTGCACATCGCATAATGTCCATCATCCAACACTAATTAAACGCATCCATTGCGCTTTTTTATATCTTCCCTGTTCCTTTTCATAAGTTTTCCTACCAAATTACTTTTTCCTGATATAAAAACGCTGTTCAAATACAGGAACAAAAGCAGATCGAGTCCACCTGGAAGCACTTTTCAAACGTGCTGTAAATGGTGTAAAGCTAGAAGGAAACAGCTGTTCTGGATCAGATTGTTGCCTAGGACTTCCTTTCTTCGAGCTCTTCAAAGATGCGTTCCTGGCGATTTCGGACAGATGTTGTTTTAAGCGAATACTCCTACGAACATTGGCCATAAGTCGATGACCCTTCGTTGACATTCTGGCCCAGACTGGGAGACGGGCGCCGTTGTAGTGTGACGAGGTCGATTGGATCAGTACACCCTCTAGCCCATAGCTGAGAAGGATGGAGAGAATTATTCGATTGGCAAAACGGTCCCTCAATCCTTTTACTCCTTTCCTTCTCGAATTAGTACGAAAAACGCCGATATGTGGATCATTTTATGACTTACGCCAAATTTCAGGTATTGAAACAGGAAGTTTTTTATATTGAATTTATTAATGAACAGAAGCATTTCGCTATCAAAATATTACTTTTAGAAAGACGTAGTAATTTATTCGCAAAAAAAGTAAGCTTAACATGCCTAACGAGTTGTTTCGTAAGCAACGGCAGGAAGTGCTATGCATTTACTCCACAGCCTACCCAGAAATCTTTATAACCCTAGGAATGGGGATAGAGCCAGACTGAGCGAATTCCTTAAGGTGCTGAAATTTTCTAGACATATCTTAAGCCTGAAAGGGCATCGAATTGAACTAGTGTAACATCCAATTGCGCATTATAGAAGCGGCCTCACAAACACCAAGGATTCCTGGAAAAGCGCCTCTTCGGTGGTAGTTCTCGATATCTCCTATAATTCAGTTACATGCCACCCATAACTTTGACGTACTATCGACTATGCGCACGAAAAGCCTCTTAAGGCAACGATACTGGCCGAGAAGATGCCTCATGAAGTTCCTAAGCCGAGGGATTAAACAGGCAAGTTTCCTTAGGGACATAGACCTGCTTTGCAAGGAGTATTAGAAAGTTTTCGCAAGGGGATTGCGATAACTCGGACAAATTATTACCGCGATGGTATGAACTCGCTGTGGACGATGGGATAATCACTACAATTTGAAGCACTGAAATTGCCGGACTGTGATTGACACGGGACTGAGGCTAGAAAGAAGAAAATGAGTGAGAGAAGAATGTTTAAACGGGAATTAAAGGCCTTGGTAGCGAGTTTTTGGAATGAACTTCGAAAAGTTCACAAGCACAACTCGAATTACATAATGCCCCAAGATGACCTAATGACTATTGAATTCACGAGAATTTTTGCTATGTGTTACTATGAAAAATATTCTATTCGTACTTTAAAGCACCAGAACGGGTTTGAGTCCCGTCCGAGACTGAAGTTTTGCCCATAAATCGCAAACCTTGTGAGACCACGAAAAATATTCTGAATGGTTGTAAGCTCTGAGATTATCGGGCTCGACTTGACTTTCACATGTTGTTGGTTAGGAAATGGCCAAGATCCACATAAAGTTCGGATTTTCCGACCGTTAAGTCCGTATCGTGGAAAATTCGAACATAATCTGATTTAACGAGGGTTTCTGAGGGAAAGAAGCATTCAACTATCTGACATTCTATACCCTCTATACGCGACATGTCCGTGAAGGAATACCGCGATTCCATACGTTTTGGCTATCCTGTGAACGTGCCCCAAGAGCAGATATCTAGCCAGAGCTTGTGCTTAACACATGTTCACACCAATAAACGTACAAGATCCAGGGAATATACTGATTGATGAACTGCCTCAGAGACGTATAGAAAAACATCGTTCATTCCTGAAGTTGGTCTCGTTCAAAAGCGTCAGAGCCAGTCGCTCGTTAGCCATGTCCGAATAGCTGCCAGCGTAAAAATCGGTCTCCGACTTGTCTTTGCGGAAATCAAATGTTGTTCTCACGAAACGGCCAAGAACCACTTCAAGTCCGGATTTTCCGACCGTAAAGTCCGTATCGTGGAAAATTCGGACACAATCAAATTTCACGAGGGTTTTTACGGGGAAAATAGCTTTAAACTAGTCGATAATCTAAATAACCGAACACAAACAGTTCCTGTTTCCCATCGACGTAGTTCAATCATGTCATGAGCTTAACGCTTTGGAGCTAACTCGATTCCTTGCAGACGCACTTCAATAGCAGTCAGGCTATTAGAGAGTGAGTTCCGCTCTGTCTCTTCTCGCTCTTTTAACCTCACGGGATTAGTTTTCACGTCGGGCACAAAGATCATCAGGAGCAGCACTTTCAAATTTGTTCCAAAACATTTATATTATGCGGGTATTTTAAAAGATGTATTAATTACAGCCTTTTCCGATTCAACAGTAATAGAACACCCCGACTTCAAGCTATAAAGGACTTAAAATTGTGAAGTAATAGTCAACATCTAGAAAAGTAGTTGACAGTATACAAACTTACGCTTGAGGTCCGCGTCTGCTAGTCGGACAACATTTTCCGGTGGTGTGGGAAAGTGAGGAATCCATTCCACTGGAAAACGGGTGAACTATCCAGTTCCACGAGAGGAAAATGGGTCATAAAGTTGAGAATCATAAAATAATCTTAAGTATCATGAAGGTTCAAAAAAATAAACATTTACCAGTTTTATGGGTAATGTTTGATACTGTTCGCCATTCACCCCACACACCGAGTTGAACATGAACTTGCTGATATTCCGTGTTCATGAAGTCCAAAACAGCCCAATTTGGTGTTGCCAATGCGGCTATTAGGACAATAACAGCAATCTGAAATCTACGAAAAATTTATATTTCGTATGTAGTAATCACATAGTTTCTCAGGGTATTCCCAGGGAATTTGGGCCGCTCGTCAAAACAATCCACTTCTGTTCGTGTACATAACGGCCGGGCTGAGACGGCGGGCGGCTCTGGGAGAAGAACGTAGCGTATCTATCTACGTAAATATTACGTTGATTACGTACCCAAGCGATAACCGTAGCTACGGCCATGAAACGGCGTTGCCAGATCATCTTTTCATAGGATTGTATGTTAAGGATTTGTGAGTCGCGAAGATCCACAGCTTTCTCAAGCAACTGCATGTTTGTTGCTGGGGAACTGTTTGAATTCCTGAAACACAAAATAATACTTTACAAGTGGGGTTAAGCGATGAAGTCAATCGGACCAGAAGGGTCAGACAAGGTAAGTGTTGCAATAATGATCGAATGGTGTAGTCATTAGGGATTGATTACATGGTAACCCTTTCAACATGGTTACATTCTCATTAATAGCTGGCATTCAGGACAAACAGCTCGCCAGTGGTTTAACAGCAAAGTGTTTTTTCCGGACGATCGAAAACGAGGAAAACGTTGGCGGAGGTGGAGAGGTTGTGAGGCTCTTCAGTGCAATGATTAATAAAATTCTGTCTGAACCACGATTTATCTCTTTCCTTACGAATAGCTTTTTATTGATTGGTAGTAGAACCTATTACAACCCACTATTGATCGACAGATGGTGCAGAATAGCTCAGATTAAAAGCACCACAAGATACTCTGCTTAAGCAGTAAAGGGACCCGAGTAATGCGAGTTCTCAGAAGTCTACCGCGATATAAGTTTGTAACAGAGAGAAGGGACTGACTATAACTGAATATTGTTAGCGACATGATCCACATCGAATTCGGCTCAGCCAAGGAACAAAGAAAAGCACGAATGAGGTGTGGGTGAGCGCAGAACACGCTCGTGTGGTCCCGAATGGGCGGGGCTTTTGGGGCGAAAATCGAGAGGTAAGGATAGAAGAGGCGAGAAGACTATGTTGTTACTGTAAACGAAATTTCAGTTGGAAGTAGCTGAGTGTGAGTACAAGCTCTGAGTGTCAGTTCTATTCTATTGGAATCGCATCCCGTGTGGTAGGGATTGATTGTAAAAGTGATTCTGAGGGGATTTGAGTTGCAGTTGCTGTAATGATGAGACATCAAAGCACATAGCGCTAGCGCTAGCCAGCACACTCGTACGAGAGCCGGCCGGCATTCTGGAGGTTTCCCCAACCAGTGCGTATAATCAAAAACAGATTGAGCGACATACGAGATGCAACGAGAACAGATGTGTATTTCAACAGCAGGCCCTAATAACTTATCGTGGGAATCCGATGCCAGAACAGAAGAGCTCTGGAAAACGAATCCAATAAAAGAGCTCTCATGTGCTTGTTAATGTTTTTCACAAGGGATTACAGATTAACAGAAAAAAAATTTACAAATAGTCAACACTACATATCAGCTGCTGCTCCCGTGAAACAAGCTTAGGATTTTGGGAACCGTATGGTTGAGAGGAGTGGATAGCGCGTAAACGATATGGAATCTTTCGTTTACACAACGATCATAAAAGTAAAGTTCAGTAAAATTTACTGGACTTCAGCGTATACATTGTTATAGTACGGACAAATAGCAAAATTGGAAAGCATAAGGAGGAGCCTAAGAAAAGAGTCATCGCAAGCTGCTCGTGATAATTACCAGAAGTTTACACCACTTTTTGAAAGAATTTAAAATCAGAAAGGGCCAATACGACGACAACAATCGATCAATAGCAGCTTAGTGGTAATTGAGGCTCGTGGTGGTCCAGGAGTTATGGGGGTGACCACATGGGCCAGGTCAACAACTACCAAAGTTAATCGTTGAAGCGCCTCCTAGTCACCAACATTTTTTAATATTATAGTATTACTAATGGAATGTAAAACGCAAGTATAATCAGTGATAAGCAGTTATAACAATACTACAACAAACGTTGAAGGGTTAGTGATAGGCGGGCGCATGAGCGTGTCTATCCGAGCTTTATTCCACATCAAAACATGTGACATGTCGACAAACGAGTAACTTGTTTTTGGCTCCTGCCCAGAAAATTCCGTGCTCAGTGCTTAGGAGCCATAATGAAAGCGGCAGGAAAGAAAGGACGAAAGGAAACCTACGAAAAGAGCTATTGTGACAAGAATATACATGTGCCGTGGGAGGTTTTTAGGTTATCTCAAGTATGAAGGAGCCAGCAGGAAGTCTCGTTCGCAACTGATAGTCGCCTGTGGCGACACGGATTCTTGCCAACTTGAGCGATGGAACCTTGGTGAGTTATACTTCGAACTATCCGCTCTAAATTCGTCGTTGCTTTTGCCAGAGGGAGTGATGAGCTTTTTGGATGGCATGCAAGTCATCTCGAGGTGTTTTAAGTATCTGAAGGGGACGATAGGTCGGGGTCGAGGCCGTTAACTTAATAAATTGTTCTACCTCAAAACTTTGCACGGCACGAGAATTCTAATCACAACAACCATAAAGTTTAAAGGATAAAGTTTTTGGCGTTAGTCAATCCCGTCTGAGGGATGCGCCCCCACACTCGACCTCCATTCAGAATCGTAATGCCGTAATGGGTGCGTACGTGGCCTATACAATGACTTGCGTTGCCAGCCGATGTACAAGTCAGTGCTTTTATCCTCCCAGACGAGTCTGGTACCAATTTACCGACCCAGGAGGGATGAAACGCTTGGTTGGCCTAGGCGGTTATCGATCCAGCATTCGAGCCCCTGACCGCGCGTGTGAGATAGTGCGCCACTTGCCACTACACCACCTCCGCCCTATACAACAAGAATACCGAGTATAAAGTGGGAGACAGCTTGGAGACTATGAAAAGAGCAATGTAATGGAAATGGAACCATGAGATAACTCAAGATACGCTAATAAAACACAGCTCACTAATATCCTTTACTGTTTTTTGTCTTTATTATCTTCAAAAATGCATGACATATGAACTCTCCCTTATTCCAAGCCCAGGAGGATAGGGGACCTGTTATACTTTCGTCGGGATATAGAGATCACATGATGCACGCGCTATCGCGTGGTGACTGTGGAGCCAATTTCAGTGTAACAAGTAGTAATAGCTGGGTGCACTTCGTCTCACTATGCGTATGAAAAATAAAAAGAAATCAAAGGTTAAAAGCGTGGGAGTATGCCGGAAGAATAAGCCTTACACAAATAAAAGATTCAAAGAAACATGATCATCAACTAAAATTAACTCCAATTCCCTTTTGAAGTTTTATTACAGTAGTGCCGTTCCATGTTCAGAGTAGCAGGTGTAAATCCCAATCGCAATGGGTTGTGGGCCGCGTGTGTGGCATGACCCCATTATCTCGATAATAGAACTGCAGCACACCCTACGAGCATATGGATGGGGCAAGAGTCAACGCGGTCTGCTCATAAAAATCGGTTCACGGCATCATTTGACTCGTTCCCTTGATGAAGGCGTCATTGTACTGTATAGCACTTAACTGACAGGTATTCACTTTCCTGTCAGAGAAATCTGTCTGAATTTTATCATAGTTAGGTTTTGCTGTTTGATTCACAGTCACTGCGAAGCCTAAGTACAGTATCGAACTCACAGGATTCGTGGAAACATTCAAAGCAGGAATACTGAAGTCTCAGGACCCCATAAAAAATTAGCATATGCCTGAAGGTGAACTGCAATAGTTTCAGTTTTCGTAGACATTTTTTACTTATTCGGTCAGGGTAGGCCAGGAAGGGTGCAGCATTAAGCTATAGCCTGATGGCCACAACAAATAACAAGTGCAATTCGAGTTGTCCCGGGTTGAAAATGGAGTGGCGGCGTTTACGACTCAAAGTAGACAAGGGCAACATCATGGTTAAGGGACAAGTTTTCTTTGTAAGTTGAAAGCTCATTGTTAGCCCGTTTGATTTTGAGCACTATGATTGACGGAACGGAGTACAAAAGAAGTTCACACTTCAAAAAGTTATACTACTCAGCCCTATAGAAATTCTGGCCCTCACTCTGTACCCCTGGGTAATTACATCATTGAATATCGTTCCTGGAGAAAGCAGAGAGAGATTTGGTAGAAAGCCCATAGAGGAGAGCTTGATCACTATACTGGGGGAAGGGTCTTGGGTTACGACTAATGGACGACGGCGAAGTACGAAATACTCGAATGAAGAGCTTCACCCGGGTGTGGTGCGATTCACGCGCCGATATAATGAGGTCATCGGACAAAACACGCTAAAACATCATTCTTACCATCATAACGGAAGTTATAAGAACTTATAAGTAGAATAAGTAAAGAAATGACCAATATGCACGTTTACAGATGGATTGCGTTTACTAGGATCGAAAAAATTAAAGTTATTCTTATTTTGAACGTTTGACTAGTAAATTGTTGACCTATGAGGTGAATTCTCAGTCTCGAAGGGGCTTTTTTTGCCATAGTAAAGAGATTTGCTCTACTCATGGTGAAGCCGGGAACTACTGCAAATTTATTTGGTCCATCTCAACAGGAAGGTACTGAAACGGTGCTGCGTGCGCGATGACCTCATTATATTGGCGCGTGAATCGCGCGCCCCCCAGCTTCACCCCTTGGCTTCCTCACATGAATTGAGCGGCGATTGGCTTCAGATAGTAGGCACGTGAGGCTTTATAAATAATTTTTGAGCAGAACAATACATATATCATGTACATTCTGCTCAACAGCTAAACATAGCCCTCTCTCGGGAGATCATAGCTCGGGAAAAATTGTTCCATATTATGGAGAGGGCGCATGGAACTGGTAACACTCATAACTCATTGTCTTCCTTGGGATCTACGTCCCAGGTCGTTATTAGTTGTTCTATTTTGCTGGCATCATCCTGTAGAAGTAAATGGCTTGGGCTAGAACGCCTCATACTAGGCTATGAAAAATGTATAGCCCGTTCCTCATGAGGTTGGAGGGACACACTGTGATTCTATTCTCTGTGATGAGCGGTGTACATGATATGTATTGGGTCTTATGGTGGGTCTGATTTCTATTTTTGACGTTGTTATCCTAATAGAATTGCTTCACTATAATCAACGGATAAATAACGCAGAATTATGCAAAGGTGACGATTACTTTTGGCTCCTGTAAACCTGTATAATTAACCCGTATCTTGCCGTTTCTATGTCCCCCTCTGGAAGGAATGATGACATTACTACCAACTCTTCCGGTTACTGGTGAACTAGATTTTTTGCTGTACCGAACCACAGCACAGCTTCTAAGGCTTCGATGATTTAAAACTCAAATTCTTTACAATCTACATCACATTTTGGAGAAACACCAGTTATGACCTACATA